TCCACCCACCATGGACCCTCATCTAAAGACGGCATGCATGACACAAACAATCAAGGTCCCGCATACATCCCAGACGACTACGTGGGAAATCCACATTCTCTCACAATCGAATACCACGCTCCTTGTGAGGAACGAAAGAAAGAGGAAGGGAGGGGGGGTTTATACTCCGGCGGCCCTCATTTGGAGCCTGAGCGCCTCACGCTAATTCACTTTCAGAGAACCCGTACTGAGAGCGTGTTTGGTCATATGAGATCACTGCTCATGGAATATATTACGGTAGGCTGTATCTCACACATGTAAAATCATTGGGTGAGGGTTATCCAGGTAATCTTATAAAACCGGATGACATTCCAACATGCCCTCCCATCGTCGTGGTTGCTTTTACTTCCAGAGGATTTTGTAGGATTTTGTAAGCTTTTCAGATGAAGAGGAGCTTTACAAGGAATTATATGGTGATTCCGAAAAGTCACGTACAATAACGTACCTTCACTACTCGTTATAGTTATTTGAGCTGTTAACGTACTGAACAGACGAACAATGACCCTTGGATTGATGCGGGATCTATGGATACGGAGCGCTGAGCTTTCTGCTGCCCATTAATTCTAGATTCCATATGACAGATCATGGTTTCTCTGTTATATACAAGGACGAAAGCACAGGCTTCATAAGGCTCGCGTAAGCAGTAGATAATGGTTGATTTAGGTCATCGACAATGGATTACCCCCTCATGTCATGTTCTTGGATTCTTCTTTTAACAACCCACTGCTGGATAGAAGGCCACAATCAATTACTCAGACTCTGGTCTCATCAATGGGGTTTCCTTATCTGGCTCGATTTGGGACAACTGGTCCCAGGCGAATTCGTGACTCATTTGATATCGAAGATAAGATCCCTGTACACCACCTTAATTGACCGTAGGAAGACGCATGTGCTCACTAAATGACGACATACTGCAGTGCCTAAGCCTCCACCACCACGAACCCAGGAAACAAGACATCCTCAACAGATAATCCAAGGGTACTAAGAAATCCCACACTCACGCGATAACCGCCCACCAAAACCGGGAAACCGGTCAAACAATACCCCTCCATGCTGACGGCAGGGATACCTTGCCGTAATTGTATATTCATAGCATTATAAAGACCCTGCTGCTTATCAGATGCACAGTGGCGTTTCTTCCCATTGAACACGAGCAATAGTTGTCAATACATCTACTGATGATTAATAGATCCCTGTCACACTTTTCCGTTTAGATGGTAAACATCGATACTACTCATTCCAGTCACATCAATCGCCTAATACAGGTTCAGTATGTGAGAATCATTTCAATGAACCTTCGTAGCGTTGCCATTGAGTCGAGAATTTCTTTGGAGCTAAAATGACAATATTACAGCCATTGTCGCAGCAACAAACGGTTCTAATGCTGTAGGTCGCAGAACGGGGATCCTCGATTAATAGTCATGAATGACATCATTGGCTGTTATGCAGGCAAGAACGAGAATGCAAGGTCCCATGATTAACGGTATGACGAACAGGTGCTCTTTCGAACCGTGTAACAAGGGCCTAGAGTGCTGTTGGCTGGGTGGTGGTCAGACAAGGAGGCAGCATGAAGGTACTAATTAATACTACCTTCCCAGAAGGGTAGCAGCCAGAGAAGCCCGGGCCGATGGTGCATAATTCATGGAATCGAGGCCGTATTGATGTGGAGACTGTACGGCGGAAGGGGATTGATTCGAGGGTTCAGGATCTGCAGTGAGCCAACCACAGCAGTCTTCAGCAGATCAGCAAAACCCCCATTGGTTGGCATCTTGAGGAGCTTTCTCAACTCCTTGCATATTGTGCCCTTACTCCATTATCATGACAGGACTATGAAAACAACACTGCTGCATTGTAAGCTGAAGGCATTGATAATAAATCCAGGTTTAACTGAAGGAAAACCAAAAACGGAAAAGAAATGATAAAGCGACTCGAATGACGGGAAATGAATCAAACAATCCTTCTCAAATAACTAAAAGCAGTGGGCGGGTTCGGCCGACAAATCTCCTGCAAGGCATTGTACTCACTGACCTGGAAATATAACAAAAGTGACTCGCAAAAATTGTGGGTATACAGCGATATCGGCAATGTGCTCTCCAGATTTTTGCCGGAGATGCGATTGTGCTAAACACCGGGTTTTGACGTCTGCGTCAACAGTGCAGCGATGTGGGTCGGAGACAGACTGATTTTGGGGTTAGAGACAACGTCCTCTTGCGCATGCCCTGGGGCAGTAGACGAACCCTCGGCAGATGGACGGTCGCTGGAAAGCCGGTACAGTAGAAGCGTTGAAGAGGGAAGTTCTTCCCCGTCGCCGCCGCTGACTCGTTTTCCACCGCCCTTTACCGAGCGGCGCCACCCATCGGCTCATACTATTTTTTTCCCTCTTTTTCCCTCTGTCCTACAGTCCGGACTATAGCGTTCTGATTTAGAATTGGCGTTTATGTGTCGGCCGGCTACCCTTCGTTGTAGAAGGAAACAAGGATTTTTAGGAAGGCGGGAGGTGGCGCCTTCGCCCTGCATTGCTGGCACGAGGCAGGGATGGCAATACGTACTGTACACTGAAACCCCTGGGAGGGTATCAATGGCTTGCAGCCGCTTTCTTTCGGTGCTCCCCATAGTGGAGATGGTTCTAGTTTTAGTAGCCTCCCGTTAGTTCCGGTAGAACAGATCGGGGTGTCCGTGGGACTAAATAATATCTTTGTCCCCATCATCCATCATTCTTATTTAGTCCATTGTCCATAGTCGATGTTGGTCAAGTCGGAGTGGCAAATCCATAGTGTGACCTGTATCTTCACGCAACATTAAACCGGCTTTCTCTGAGTAGGTCATTCGTCAAGAGCCTGGCATCTCTCCCCACTCCCCAGAGTTGATCCTTTAGATTGGTGACTTGGCGTTCCACGGGCTTCTTGTCATCATGGTAGTACAGGCGAAGACACCCCTTGAGGTGATTATTGTTGGGTAGGTTGAGAATCTGACATTCATTGTGTGGGCCACTCGAAATGATCATGCTAATCTTCATATAGGGCAGGTATGCTTCCGCTTTCTCTGGGTATGGGAAGAAGGTTTGGACACTAACGGGTATAGGAATTGGTGGCATGGCAGCAGCCCTGACTTTGGGGTCAAAAGGACACCATGTCACAATTTTGGAATCCGCTCCAAAGGTACGCAGCCAAGGGTGCCTCTGTTGTCAAAACATCTGCTAATCAGACCCATGCATAGCTCCTGGAGGTCGGTGCCGGTATTCAAGTTTCCCCGAATATGTTGCGGATTTTTGACCGTGAGCTTTTCCCGTTACTCTTGAATTGAAGATGTTGCTGATCCAAAACAAGGCTGGGGCGTATCACCTCTGATTCACTCAAAAGACGTTGCCCTGGAGCATATCCATGTCCGCCGGTGGCAAGACGGTAGTCTTTTAGGCACAATGCCTGTAAACAAAACATACGGCCAACAGGTAGTTATTCATCGTGCAGATCTCCACAATGCCTTGATTGAGCAAGCGCTGGCGCTGCCAAATGTGGAACTTCGAGTAAATTCGACCGTCACCGATGTTCAATTTGACCCGGCATCTGTGACGTTAGCTGATGACACTGTTGTCCGAGGGGATGTTGTGATAGCGGCCGACGGCATCAAATCCACCATCCGTGGTCATCTACTTGGCGAAGACTCACCCTCAAAGGCCATTCCAACAGGCGATGCAGCCTATCGGATCATGTTGCCACGGAGCACGATGGAAAATGATCCCGAACTAAAAGAGCTATTGGACGAGCCACAAGCAACTCGTTGGATCGGTCCTGATCGTCACATCATTGCCTATCCCGTGCGCAAACACGAGCTCTTCAACGTGGTACTGCTTCATCCGGATGGACATGGTGTGGAGGAATCGTGGACTACCAAAGGATCGAAGCAGGAGATGGTTGACAACTATCGCGGCTGGGATCGAAGGGTGCAGAAGCTCATTCAATTGGTTGCGGAAGATGAGGTTCTTGAGTGGAAGCTCTGTCTGCATTCTCCCTTGAAGACTTGGATTAAAGATAGTGTGGCGTTAATCGGTGACGCTTGTCATCCTATGCTGTCAGTCCCCCTTTGCCTTTTTTACGAGAGATCTACGGAATTAACGTCTCATTCAGGCCATACGTCGCTCAAGGTGCCGCGCAGGCTGTCGAAGACGCTGCCGCCCTAGGTGTTCTCCTATCAACAATTTCATACAAGCATGAAATCCCCGTGGCCCTACGGGCGTACGAAAAGTCCCGGAAGCAACGCGCGGAGACAGTTCAGCAGTCCGGTTCGGCAAACCGTATCACGCTGCATCTTCCTGACGGTCCTGAACAGCAGGCTCGAGACGAGCAGTTCCGTCTATCGATGACCGGCGGATCTAATCCCGATCGATGGGCAGATCGTGAGACGCAGACTTTCTTATGGGGATGGGATGCCGAGAAAGCGGCCCTGGAGGCCTGGAATGGTAAGATTCCCAAAGTCGTCCACTTCGATCTCTTCCTTTGTCATTGACAAAACTAAGTTATATCTTCTGCAGAAATACGCGATGAGAATGTGCTTGAACCGCGTCATCACCTGTAGTGGGGTTCTTTCAACCTAGTGGTCGGATAGTTTGGCGCACGTGCGCCGTACAACATCGTATTCTAAGTGAACAAGAGTCAACTTCCGCATGTATCAAGCGATTCGTTTCATGTTTGTACAGCGCTCGTCTCATGTATATACCGAGATTTCTCTTGCTGTTCCTACTTTGGGGACCGGATCTATGTAAATATGGTCGGGATTTGGTTGAGTTTACGGTTATAGATCAAAATCATTCAGTGCTATCAACGAGACACAACATTTGGACGTGAGCTGAAGTAGTTATCCCCAGATTGATGGCTCTAGTATGTGCTTCGTGCCCTATTCATGATATATCTTTTCTTTGGTCATATATTTATGTATAAATCTCACGAACCATATACTGTCTAACTCTAGATCTTTGCCTGTCTCTTCCTCAGGAATGGTCCAGCGCCGCGGCGAGAGAACCCCCATCGAATCTGATTAGCCATTGAGATCTCCACATTCAGATCATCAGCCCAAGCCCAAACTAACCCCGGATTCTTTTGGAAACCACGTCCGACCATGACAAAATCCAGACCCTCCTTCTCCAACAAGGAGTTGGCCAGCTGGGCCGAGTCAATCATGCCCACTGCCCCTACCTTCAACTTATCCCCAACCGCCCGTTTGACGGCGATGGCGAAAGGAGCTTGGAAGCCTGGTTTCGCATGGATATGTTGCGCCTGATGGGTGCCACCGCTGCTGATGTCAATCAAGTCAATGTAACCGCTCTCGGCGAGTACTTGGGCAAACTTGGCGGTGTCCTCTACTTTCCAGCTGGGCTCTGACGGCCTCGACTCTTCTAACCAGTCGGTTGCGGATACGCGCAGAAACACAGGCTTATCCTCGGGAACCGCCTCTCTGGTCAGCTTAGCAATTTCCATACTGAGGCGAATGCGATTTTCAAAACTTCCACCATACTCATCCGTTCTCCTGTTCACGGCAGGGGAAAGGAATGACATGAGTAGATACCCATGGGCGTTATGGATTTCGACAAAGTCCGCGCCCGCCTTGACAGCTCGTTTGACTGCGCTCACCCATGCGACCTTCAAGTCTTCGATATCCTGCTTTGTCATCTCCTTGGGCGTGGGGTTCCGATCATTGAAAGGAGCATCAGTAGGGCCTTTAACATGATCTGGCCAGCCGCCTACTTTTTTGGAGGCAGTGTCATTCATGGATAGCCATGGGGCAACTGTGCTTGCCTTGCGGCCGGCGTGGGCGATTTGAACCCCGATCAGCTGGCTTTGGCTGTGAACGAACTCAATGATGCGACTCAAAGGTTCGATCTGCGAATCTTTCCATAAACCCAGATCCTCGGGGGTGATACGACCTTCGGGTTCAACTGCAGTTGCCTCAACCATGAGAAACCCGGGTCCACGCTGGGCAATTCCCCCGAGATGGGCCATATGCCAGTCTGTCATATGGCCATCGTCACCGGAGTACTGACACAACGGCGAAAGCTTTACATTTCAAATCTTGTCAGCATTATTGTTTGGCAACTGGGGGATAATGGTGCTTTACTCCGATGCGATTATGAAAAGTCAGACCCCGCACAGAGAGGGATTGGAACAGCTTCGGAGGGGCCGTCCCATCTGACTGCGGGTCGGCTGCTGTTCCCGCGGGAGGTTCTTGGGCGGGTGTGAAGTAGGATATGCTGGGCGCAGCTTTGTTTACAATATCCGGAAGTTCTCGTGAGGTCATGATATTCGACTCAACGAAGAAAGGTTTGATGGATGAGGGTACCGTTACGATCGAGAATGGAGAAGTGGTCGAGATGGCATCTCGACTCTACCTTCGAGTTAATAAAAGTCTAATTGGGTCTCTGCATTAATAATGCATCCAGAGGAGTTGCGATGGAATGATGATGTCACCTGACACAATCGACCGATTCTGATCCCCTGCGTATATTGATTATATCACCCATCTTCACCTCGGCATGCAGTGAAAAAGGTCCGACCATATTCCAAATCACGAAATACACCGCTAAGATATGAAACGACAATTGCTGGTGAAGATCGACGGCTCGTACTATCGCCAAGACACCATAACCGATATCGCGAGTCTTAGCGATGGTCTCTGCAGTGAAAGTAGACATGCCCCGTGGTTCAGTCATTTAGGCGGAAACGTGGTGGTTTGGAAGAAGCCCGCTCCTGTTGGTACTAGCGACACGCATAGCTGCATAGTGCTTCGCTCGTAGTATCATTTGTCCAGGTGGTACTTGACGACTGATCACCGCGCTTTAATCGTGATGGAACGTGTGTTCGCGCGCTGAGGGGGGTGCTTCCATTAGGTGTCGCAGATCAAGGGGAGATCCAGCTAACCCATAAGACATTCAAGACTCAATGTAAAGGTGATATGGTTTCTGAAAATGGCATCTCTTGCTACCGTCCGGGGTTTAGTGTGACATGATCTGTACAATAGAAAGACCCGGAATGGTCATTGGACGTTTAACCTATTGTTCAATGCTTGGCGGATTGCGTACACTTGGGGGTATCCGAGGCTCATGTTGAACAATGAGACCGGAAAGAGATGGGGAGATAAAAATACATAACGGAAAAGGGGAAAGTAAATTTAGGTAATACTATCTCTTCTGTATGTATTCCAAATCACTCCGTTATTAATATAGGAAGCTGTTCACGCGAAAGCTGAGACTGTATGCAAGTGACCTCAGGCAGAACTGAAAAGCCTAAAGCTGAGAGCTCCATTCATTCGGCAATGCTTCCAATTTGGAGCCCGCTGCCCATGTATGACTCGAAGACAGCTGCCCCGTAGTCGCCTTCAAAGTTGACGAAATCAACATGAGTGTCAAAGGGAACGCTATTGGATCTTAGTGAAACTCGAGATCCCGCAGAATCCGTTCATTCGGCACTATTTCGGATTCTGTAAGAATCTCATAACCGCGACCGGCCATGTGCAGCAGCAGTGAAACCTAGCGAGCATTGAGGCCCGTTCTATAGAATGGGTATCTTGAACTAATTGCCGCCTTTCTTTTTCGATGCCTTTTCCATGGAGGTGGACCCGACGAAGAAAGATCTTATTGGCCTACCGTAGCTCCTAGAGAAAGAAGATCCCTTCCTGAGGAACCAATGGCGGTATTTGCTTTAGATTTAGTTTTCCAGTTCCATCATCCAGGCCACAGCCAGCGGAAAGGTCATGTCGATAAATCATAAAACATCTCGGAGGTTGGCCTCAGATTGAGTTGAGTTTTTTTTTTTTGAAGGAGCCGCAATGGGTCTTGTTCTGAAATTGCCAAATTGTTCCCCTAAACTAAAGGAGGTTAAAAAAGATCCGCAACACATCGCGTCGCTTTGAACCCGACTGATTTAGTTCGGCACCACGGTGGAGACAGACCAGGTTGGCTTTTCATTGTTGTGTACTCTGCACCTAGGTGACTTCCAGCCGCACTGACCAGTGGCCGGGCTGCAGATCGTCTGTCAGCAACAAAGACATCGTGAATATCGATTTCAATAGGTGACTGAATCCTCTCCTTAACGGCTGTAACCCATTGTTCCATCCCGAACTATTTAAAGCCCCATGAAGTCGCCTCGTGACCTCTCTCTACGACAATCTAAATCTCTCTTTGATCTGATTCGGGCTCTCGAGTGACCGCAGCCTCTGCTCACAATGATGGGACTTCCCTGGGCGACGGTCTATATCGCAATCGCCGGGTATGCAATCGCCAAATCGACCTTCGGCAATTTCATCATTCTATCAATCCTAGTCTCTCTACTCAAAGTTTTCTATAATTGGGTGCTGTACCCAGACTTCTTCACGCCTATCAAGAAAATTCCATCGCCTGCCGTAAGTCTGCTATTCGATCACCGACGCCGGTGGCTGTGAGATTTCTAATGAACAGTGCCGCAGGGTCGATCATGGCTCACGGGCAACTCCGACACAGTTTTTTTGGAGGCGCCTTATGAGCATATGCATAGATGGCTGGAAAATGTGCCAAATGACGGGTTGATTCGCTACTACGTCTCCATTAACCTAGAGCGCATCTTACCAGTGGGCCCGCGAGCTTTGAAAGAGATTCTGGTCACCAAGTCGTACGACTTCCCGAAACCTGAATTCATCAGAGCAAGTCTCAAACGTTTAGCTGGGGAGCATGGCTTACTACTTGTGGAAGGGGACGATCATAAGGTCCGGGCACAGACCACCACTTACTATCTCTCCTGCTGTGGCTAACTTGCAATAGAAATCAAAAAAGAACCTTCTTCCAGCATTCGCTTATCGCCATGTTAAAGAGATGTATCCAATTTTCTGGTCAAAGAGTATCGAAATGGTCAGGGTAATGGACGAAGACCTGCGGAAAAAGGCTGACCCAACGGATAATGTCCTCCGGATGGGAGCATACGCCAGTAGGACGGCGCTCGATATAGTTGGCGTTGCTGGAATGGATCATGACTTTCAATCTCTTCGTGACCCTAACAACAAACTTGTGAGGACGTATCAAAACCTTATGAGTGAACCGCCATTGTACATGAAGATTATTTTCCTCCTGACGCTACTTCTGGGCGACCCTGCCTTCGTCCATGACCTGCCACTCGAGAGGAACAGGAGTATTGAGCGAAGTTCTGAAACCATCCGAGATGTAGCACGGCAGATGATCCGGCAGAAGAGAGCGAAATGGGAAAGCGGATCCTCCACCTCAGAGGATATTGATATTGTCTCGGTTGCCCTGCGGAGCGGGAAATTCACCGAGGAGGAACTGGTAGACCAAATGATGACCTTCTTAGGAGCCGGACATGAAACCACGTCAACTGCCTTACAGTGGTGTGTGTACGTCTTATGCAAGCACCCCGATATACAGACCCGACTCCGCGAAGAGATTCGTGCAAACCTCCCACCTATCTCGACAGAGAACCCGGAGCAGCCTGCTGCTGCCGATATCGATAATCTTCCGTATCTCAACGCATTCTGTAATGAAGTCCTTCGCTTTCACCCGTCTGTACCTGCTACTATCCGCTGTGCCAGTCGAGACACAACGATCATTGGCGAGCCCATTCCGAAGGGCACCTTGTTTCTGATTGCCCCCGAAATCATCAATAAGAGCAAAGAGCTTTGGGGCCCCGACGCCGACAAGTTCGACCCAGAACGCTGGCTAGGCCCTGGTCGGGCTAACAATGGTGGTGCCGACAGCAATTTTGCCAACCTTACGTTCCTACACGGACCACGGAGTTGCATCGGCCAGGGATTCGCCAAAGCAGAGCTGGCCTGCATGGTAGCGGTCGTTGTGGGCAAGTACCAAATGGAGCTGAAGAATCCCAATGCTCCACTCGAAGTACGACAACAAGCGACAGTTTGCCCTAAGGACGGGGTGCTTGCTAAATTTACCAATATAGAGGGGTGGTGAAGAAACGATCGGTTGAATTCATGTTTGTACATTCCATTAATGTCGATCTACTTCCTACTTGGATATCTACGAATCAGCGATCTAGCCGTGGCAACTGAGCTGGCTATGACAGTGGATAGTGTTCGTTGGGTGGTTCCAGCATTTGTTTCTATCATGATATCACTTCCTGTATTTCTCGTCGTTCAATCTGTCTTGGAAGTTAACTCTATCGGGCTACGCGGTATCGAACAAGAATGATACAAAATAACACCACATATCCACAACAAAAGTCTGTCTGGTCTATCAGTCCTCTCTAATACGGCTCTCTAAAAACCATCACATTCTCCAGATCGTTCCCATCGCCATCCTCTTCCACCCACGCCCTCCACATCCCTCCGCAATTGAAATCAAACACCACCTGCCCCCGTCCCAGCTGCATCCCAGACACAGGCACTCCCGTATCCTCATCCACTTCCACCTCTGCCTCAATTCCAATAATGCCCCCTTCACCCTCTCTGGTAACTCCCCAGCGCCTTCCAGCCGAACGCTGTAACTCGCCACCCGGCCCAGAAACCGTAGCAACAGCATCAGCCAGTGTGGGCGTCCGCTCCGAAAAACGAACCATAGCACAAGCCGTCCTCGCCGCCGCAACCCTCAGAAAGGAGTCCCCATTCCCAGTACCCGAAACAGCTGCAGCCCGTCTCTTGACTCTATTCTCCGGACTAGAACACATTACCATCTTCTCCCCTAGCCCCCTCTCCAGAGGGACCTCCATAGGTAAAGACACATAACCCTCTCCCCTGCTATTAAAGAACGATAAACAACCCCCCAACATCCCATGCAAAAGCCCTCCTCCCCCTTCACGCTCTTCACCATCGACTACTGTATTTGACTGAACATTCCAACCCTCCGCCCAAAACCCACCTCCCAAAGTCGGCGTATCCCCAATCCGCCCAGGCCACTTATTCGTCAACCCCCCAGTACTAGTCGCAACAGCAATCCCACCCCACATATCAAGACAAACACACCCGACCGTCCCCTGGCTAAAACTGATCGGCTCAGGCTCCCCGCGGAGACCCCGTAGATGCTCGTCCCACCGTCGTTGTGTCCAGAACCACTCATCATGCATGAACTCCAGTCCCCACTCCCTGGCCTTCTCCTCCACATACGGCGCCACAAGCTGCGAATGCATACTGCCCCCATCCTCACCTCCATATCCGGTCCGTAAAAGTGACTCCTTAGCCGCCAGGATTGGGTGTCGAACATTCCTCAATCCCATGACACCTGCGCCTCTCTTGGTCGACCCTGGGTAATCCGAAGAATCATCGGACACGAGGGATGTCACCATGACAGAGGCTTCCATTTCAATGGTCCCGGCGGAGGTGAAGACGCTTCCACGGCCGCAGTTAAAGAGCTCATCATCTTCGAGGAGGGTTACGGCGTGGACTGCGGCGTCGAGGGCTGTGGAGCCGGACTTGAGGAGGGAGTGCGTGGAGCGGAGATAAGTGAGCAGGGAGGTTTGGTATTGAGCGTAGAGGGATGGAGGGAGGGTGGATCTTTTTAGGGCGCCCGCGCCGCCGTGGATTATTAGGGTTGGTTTGAAGAGTGGTTTTCTTTGTTGGGGGTTGGGTTTGGATTTATCCATTGTGTTGATGTTGATGTTGGTGCGTTGTGTGTGTTATGGAGCACTGTGAGTTGGTTGCGGGGAAGCGGGATCTTATATGCAGGTTTTGGGCGGCTGGAGACAGGGTTTGGGGTTAGAGTTTGGTTGGTCCTTTTGGCTTTTGAGGGATAGGGATGGATGTTGGCTGTACTGTCAGATAATGAGTAATTGATTCTTCGGAGGTGATTTATAGAATGGAGTCTTATTGTTTCTTGCTTCTTATCTTGGAATAATCCGGGGCTGGAAGGAATGACTTACCCGCCGATAATCAGAGAGATAAGCATGGCGCTGGTATATATTTCCTTTTTCTGGCTGTTCTTCCTCATTTGTGGTGATGCATTCATCTGACTCTGAAGGCAATTACCTGGGCATCGCCATTGGTAGACTGGAGTGTGTGGGAGACTGATATCACATTATACCATTTATCGGAAGTTAATATACAAGAAAGTCCAGCCTTGGAAACCCCAAGGCCGGCGTCGAAGATTCTTTTCCCTCCATCAACATAATGAACATGCGAATGCAATGCTGTGCACTCCAACAAACCAGGCTAAAACAATACAAGAGGATTAAGAGCAGGGATAGAAGCACAATAGAAATAGCAACCTCTATAGTTTGCCCCCAGAAATGATGACCACACCCAACACCTGAGAAGAGAGATACGTGATAATAATATAGCATATAGATCGGATTCGGGAAGGAGGCATCGTAGCTGGGTGTTGATTTATGCAGCGACCTTGTCGCCAGATGGGGGAGCAGGAGGGAGCTGAAGCACACCAAGTTAGCTTAAAACTCATACAAGCGGTCGGTCGGAAGCCCAAGCTGCTCCCGAAAGAAGACGCTAGATCAAGCTCACCTCTAGTTTTGTGTTGTCTGCCATCATTCTCTGGAAACCAATACCGACACCCTCAATGACAGCCAGGAAAACAGCGCACATGATGGCAGAGTTCCTGGCAGCCTTGACACCACCACGGACAGCCAAAGCACCACCAGTGAAGAAACCAGCGATAACTGAAACAAAGAACATCAATTAGTCGGACGCTCTCCACGAACCGGACACCCCAAATGTCCCAGTAAATTGAGAGATAGGGTACACATACTAGCATTGTAAGGGTCCTCCTTCTTCCGGATTCCCTTGATCGCACAGTCGAATGTCGAGAACATACCACCCCACACACCGAAGTTACCACCGAGGACGGGCGCGCGAGCTTGATGGCTGTGAGGGCTCCTATCCGACGCTCTCCGTAGGGGCTGTTTCTGAAACCCTTGATACCGTGCCATACTGCACCACCAATTGCCTACAGTTTTCATCTTATTAGCCCGGTAGTCCTGCAAATGAGCACGATTGGACCTCGACTCGAATACATACACCCATACAGAAAGCACCACCGAAGTCGCTCAGGGCAACCCAGGGGCAGGGATCTCTGGAGTGATCCATGGCGAATGTGAAGAGAGATAAAGGGACGAGTAGATGATATTAAACGGGCGGTATGTCCGTAAGCACGAGTAGCTACTGTCCTGACAGGCTACACGGTTTGTGAGATGCGAAGTGTCAATGGATCGAGCGGTTGCTGATGACCTGGATAGGTTGTGACTCGTTCGAGGGAGGATGGGGTCGAAGGCGTATGTATTGACGATGATATAGCGTCGTCAAGTAACGTCTTCTAATCGTCAAACTGCGGGAGGAGATGTCTGTTGTGGGGACAATGAGGTCGGCGATGGAGCAAAGTTGGCGGGATCGCAGCAATCTTTTTAGATGGCGTTTTTTCGCCCGTAAAACGTGACTTCGGGCCGGGGAATGCGGTCACGTGTAGATAGCACCCCGATTTCCGCTCGTATCAAAACAAACTTTTCTCGCGGTGCATGGAAGAACTACGACTTTTCCCGTAGCCTCGATATTCTGTGGCAAAGCAAATGGGAAATGAAAACCTTGTTGTCTTTGTTCTTGATTGGGTGTTATGCTAGACAGCCCATGGTTTACAAACGTTTTCAAACTCACGGAAGGATGTTTACATCTATGTATGTACATGTGTTCCACGTCATGTGGCAAACGTTATCTTGAGAGGATTTCAAGACGGCAAATTCCAGATAAAGTTCAGAGCTCCTCCTTCATATGCAGGGAATTGTCCTGCACTACTGATACCAAACGGTGCCATCGATGGGTCGAATGGTAAAGAAAGCCAATCGTCAGCCGCGATATCATTGAGGGACGGGATGTACCCCATATCAGACATATTTTGTGATATTGGAATATCCATCATAGGTGTATTGTTACCCTGATTTGTGCTCGATGGGACACCCATGGATGGTTTTGATGTTGTTCCCTGGTTACTCTTGACTGTCTTTGATGATGCCAGTAAGTTCCGCCGCAAACGCGCGACATGCATGTCCAACAGCGCAGCATAGCGGGTGCTCAAATGGATATCATCCAACGCGTTCGACCTTAGCGCTTGTATACTTCGCTCGAGAACATCGAGTGACTCTCGCAGCGTTGATTGGCGTGTTCCCAAACTAAGGGCTTTCATGAGAAAGATGGACGAGCTCGTGATACGGAGGAATATCCGGACGGGGCAGAATCGTAATACCCCATTCTCAGCCAGTTGAATTACCTTCTGTAGTATCTGGCAGCATCCATCAATGACTTCTTGAATGTATTCGTAGTCAATTGGGTCGATATTCAGTGCGCGGACCTCTTCCGCGTGAGGATCGCTGTCCGCGAGCACCCGTTCCACCACTGCTTGCATTCCGACGGAATGCGTATAGACTCGAACAAAATGATATTCAAGGAAGAGAATATCAAAGTACTGTTTCTTGCGTGCTGTATATTACGTTAGTTTCATACGCGCAGGAAATATTACGGTCATAGGTTAGACTCTAGGTATGACCAGATTCACCTACATCGTACTTGGAGATGCTCTTCCTTCCATTTGTCCAGTATCGGACGAAAGTGATCCAGCAATTCAATGTACCGCCCACTATGCAGTTGCTGCCTGGCAAAAGAGACGGTCGGAAAGAACATATCAGTAACCGATTTTGCCAACTTTGTCAGATCCATCCAGGAATCCATAAAAGTCAGCCATTCATCGCCGGTTTGGTTTAGCTCTTTCGCCGCCCGCCGTCCCAGAATAGCATGGTTTAGGCTTTGTGGCATAAGCGATACACAACCTATTCGCCATGCGAGTTGGTTGATATATACGTATAACAAGCGCTGCACCCGTTGCCTGCGGAGTTTGATCTGTTCGCCAGATATAAATCCCTCGTAACCAGACGCATAACCCAGTTTCTTTTCATCAAGCTCGAAAATACCCAATTCGTGCGCGAGAGACAAAGCTGATCCCAGCAGCATCCATGACATCTGGTCTGATCTTCGTGCTGGCTCGATCATATCCTCCAGCCATCGATTTGTAGAAGAAGAGTCCTCTAGCTCTTGCGGATCCGGGGGAACCGACGTGAGATCGAAGTCCCAACCATCACTTTCTGGAGGGAAGTGAAGGGATCGAGGGTGCCATTCTGACATTAACATGAGTGCCTCGATTGTCCCTATGTTTCGAACCTTAGACTGCGAAGATTTCTCCTGTCCAAACATAAGTCGCATGACCAGTTGCTGACAATGCTGCCAAAGCCGATGGTGAATGAAAAAGTTCCTCGACCCACCACCTGCACCAGGCAACAGGTGATAACGAGAGGAGATCATCAAGATAGTGCAACATAAAACCGGATCGTGCGAGACAAGCCAGCGATGATTCTTATGATCTGCATAGAAATCAGTTAATATCGGGGACAGGTCCGACATATTCTTAAAGAAACTGAGCAGTCAGTCAGCTTTAGCACTTTAGTACTAGAACAACTGGCTATACTAACAGGTCGATAAATGTGACAGCCTCTCTCGCAGTGAACCATCCCATCCGGACAAAGCGGCATGCTCCCCAGACACTAAGGACATCTTTGGACGCTTGGGAGATTTCTACGGGCTGCGCTGCTTTCGCTAGGACTTCTGGAGGGACAATGGATTGGTTTAATGAGTTGTCATAGTTATTAGAGCGACCAGTAGAGCTTCGCGCATTTCGCGACGGCGTACTCGACTCGCTTAAACCATTACCATGCTCCTTACTATGGGCGCCGCGGCCTCAAAAAGGATATTGAGAGCATCATTTCCACTAGACACCACAGTGCGCATCATAGAATTTGCCAGAGTAGAGGTGGATTGCCGCCGTCTTTGGCTACCCTCTGCTGGGGACGACTGAAGTGTAGTACTATCAGCGTTATCCTGGTCTTGCTCCGCATAGCTAAGTGGACTCGGACCGTGGCCTAAAACGTGGTGTGACTCGTCCCTACTGATCCCGGGATTGCTGGATAGTCTGGGACGTGTCCTTGCAGACAGCGGTATATGTTCTTCCGATTGTCCTTATGCGGTGTTAGACATGGTCTAGCCTAGAGAAGGAGGACGGGTAATTCACCTCGTTTCTTCTGTCTCTCCCATGCCTTTTTCTCACTGAAGACACATTCCCTTTGTTCCCTCCTACACTTCGCGCACGGCGGCCCTAATGGAAGGCCATCCGGCCCTGTCCCTAACTCACATTTCGCCTTTCGCTGCCGGCAGGCAAGACATGCCTTGTAGGTACGCTGGTATGTGGCATGTCCATTGCCGGACTGTCTCCTGACCTCCATTCTCACAGTGAGCAAATCAACCAATCACATGATAGTTATTGATTATAGTTACTAGTATGAGGTAACAAAGGGCCGGACGCAGGAGCCAAAGGCAAATGGCTGAGTGGTCCGGGTTTTGGTTTTTCGAGATATTGCGGATGTTTGAATGTGGTTGGAGAAATAGCCGTCGGTTGCCGAGGAAGAGGGTAGAAATACCCGCCCCTACTTTAGCTTCACCTCAACAGTGACATCGTTCCACTTTTAGATTTAGGATCTCGTGTAGAGAGCATAAACGTCTATAGGGTTGATGCATCAGGCGTAAAATATTTGCATTAGGGTTAGGTACTTTGATATCACTATGTAACTACTAACTAATAAAAAGTTTTACTAACAAGATGTACCCATAAGCTCTTAGATATATATATTTTTGCTAGTACATACATACTTGGGTAAACTTTAAATGTGTTGAAGCTTGAAAAGTGTACCTATGGCTAGAAGAAAAGTGATCCCACTAGATAAAATAGGGAAATAGTCTTCATTTTCACCAATATTTTCCCCGGGTTGTGTGTGCTTAATATTAACCATGACTGTATAACTAGTTATCCGCAGTTGACAGCACATGACGTCACTGCATTCTACTCCCGCAACAATAAAGAAACATCATATTTTACACAGTACTCAAGGATTTTTAAGATGGCCAGGCACTGCCCCACAGCGATATAAAAACGCGATCTTCCGAAGTTTCAAAAGACGATCCTTGAACTCGGAAAATAGCGGAAAATCCTGCGCTCAGAACCGGTTATCACATTGGCGGAACTCTTCCGCCTGCCTTAAACAAGACTGTCGAGAATAATAAAAACAACCGTAGTCATGGATGAGACACAGTAACGGAAGGATAAACCCAGTATTAATTTGTCCCATTTATGTATATTTCCCAAAGAGTTCACGGGTATTAAATTGCTGTAGCATAGAAATTCTACCACTTGGGTAGCCCATCTCTCCCACATTGCCATAACATACCCCTCTTAAGAAACCAACCTTCTTTACAACACCTACAAGATACAATAAAGCCTACACCCAGAATCCACTTAACAGACAATAACACCCAGAATGACCGGCCAAACTCCCAAAATCACCCTATACACATACTTCCGCTCCACCTCTGCAGCCCGACTGCGTATCGCTCTCAACCTCAAATCAATCCCCTACACCCCCGTCCCCGTAAACCTTCTGAAAGGCGAGCAGTCATCCTCCACCAACCGTGCCCTCAACCCGTCTGGCACCGTCCCGACCCTTGTAGTCGAGCGCCCAGCATCCCAGGGCGCAACGGTGACCATCACGCAATCGCTTGCCGCGCTCGAATACTTAGAAGAAATCACACCGGCATCATCCCATGCTCTCCTCCCACCGACCTCGGACCCAGAGTCCCGTGCGGTCGTCCGCACCCTCTGCGAGATTATTGGCTGCGATGTACAGCCAGTCACGAACCTGAAGATCCTGAAGCGGGTTGGCCCGTTGGGATTCGACCGGGAGACTTGGTCGAAGGAGCTTATTGACGACGGGTTCCGCGCTTATGAGACCATTGTTTCGCGGACGGCGGGAGTATTCAGTGTTGGTGATGCTATTACTATGGCTGATGTGTGTTTGCTTCCTGCTGTGTGGGGGGCACAGCGCTCTGGTGTGAACTTGGCCGAGTACCCTACTGTACAGCGGATTGCGGAACGTTTGGAGTTGGAAGATGCGGTGAAGAAGGCGCATTGGAGGACGCAAAGTGATACACCTGAAGAATTCCGGCTGAAGGAATCTTCGTAGGTTGTATGATCCTGGTTGTGAATGGGGGAGTTGGAAGGATTCTACAGGTGTATAACGACAGATTGTATATGGATTCCATATGTTCTTGGATACTTATTCATAGCTATCTCATCACAAACAATCTCACTTATTTTGAAACGTTACATAAAAGAAAAATAGTATAAAAACTGGAACTTAGTACTCCAGCTTGATAGCGGGAAGAATGGTTCCTGTGCAGTCTCCGAACCCAACATAGTTACCTTCTGTGCCGGCCTTACCACGCAGGACAATAGTGTCACCATCCTCCAGGAACAGGCGTTCAGATCCATCAGCTAGCTTGAGCGGGTTCTTTCCATTAGTCTGCTCAAGGAGACTGCCCTGGGTTTTGGGTTCTGTGCCAGAGATCGTTCCGCTTCCGAGAAGGTCACCGGGGTTCATGTTGCAGCCTGTGATGGTATGGTGGGCTAACATCTGTGGGAACGAGTACAGGAGGTTCTTTGCGTTTGAGTTGGAGACAATAGTTGGCTTTCCGCCTGCATTGGTGATTTCGACTTCGAGAGGGATATCGTAAACGTTGGCTGCACGCTTTTCACGCAGGTAAGGAAGCAGAGAGTCCCGGTCGCCAGGTTCCAGACCCGTGGCGCGGAAGGGCTCTAATGCATCCAACAAAACCACCCAAGGAGTAATTGTAGTGGCAAAGTTCTTTGCGTTGAATGGTCCAAGAGGAATATATTCCCAGGCTTGAATGTCACGGGCTGACCAGTCGTTCATGAGAACCAATCCGAAGATATGATCCTCGGCTTCGCTGATATTAACTGGCTTTCCGAGATCGTTGGGCTTGCTGACGAATGCAGCCAGCTCCAGTTCGATGTCCAATCTCTTGCATGGGGAGAAGGTGGGGAGTTTGGGTGTAGCGGCTGGGTTGGCCAGGATCTGGCCGTTGGGACGGTGGATAGGCGTGCCTGATGTCACGACAGACGAGGCACGGCTGTGGTATGCGACGGGCAGATGCTTGTAGTTGGGTTGCAAGGCATTCTCTGGTCCACGGAACAGTACACCGACATTGTAAGCGTGGTTCAGGCCGGCGTAGAAATCAGTGTAGTCGCCGATTTGCATCGGCACATGGTTTGTCACCTCTGACAACGGCAAGAGGGCTTCCTTCTGCAAGGAGGCATTATCCTTGAGAACCTGAGGAAATGGCGTGTCTGCGCGGAAGACATTCTGAATATACTCGCGAACTTGGCGGTGCACAGGGCGACCCAGAGCTGCGAATGCGTTCAAGGTTGGCTGGCTAAAAACATTGAGATGTGGTTGGAAGTCAGGTAGTTGTGCGAACCCCCCCGATGAGGCAAAAGTGCTCAGGTTCAGCGCATATTCACCGATCGCAATCGCTGCCACGCGAGAGGTACTCTTAGTCGAGGAGATAATTCCAAAGGGAATATTCGCCAGCGAAAATGGCGAGTTCTTAGGGATCTGGAGCCACGATGCCATTGTTCCGGTTATAGTGGAAGATATGAGAAACCTGGAATGCTTAAAGATGGTAGTCACAGAGACGTGTTCATGTGAAAGGCTCTGACCGCGAAGAAAGCGACATTAAAAACAAATCGCTACGACTTAGTCTGCCCCTCATCTCTTGATTGCGACAGCTGCGTGTTTGGCATATGAGGGACGATTTCCGATGGGTGGTCGCGGAACCAAGCCGCAATGCCGCTTATCCCCGGCTGTTTCCCCTCCAGCTCTGTTACCTGTAATTCCGCGGTGCCTCCCGCAACTCCATACTTGGCTATGATGCATTGTCAAGGCTATGCAATATTCTGAATCCCCGCGATCATGTCCGTGACTACCGGCAGGTCGCGACCGCCAATACTCTCATAAAACGAGGCACACGCCGCACCTTTAGGGTTGCGATTTTCTATCAGGTCCAAATTCCACCTCTTGTACTACTACTCATTCGTTAAACGCAAAAAACAAAGCATATACAACAGGCAACAGGCATTGACACCATGCCAGTCACCAATTTCTCACACCCAGACCCTTACTCCTACCAGACTGGATTCGATTCTTATCATGAGTAAGCTTCTAAGAGTGCGGAATGAGGGGTGGCGGAATTAACTCTTTCGCAGATCGGAAGCCATCGAAGGAGCCCTCCCCGTCGGCCAGAACTCTCCCCAGAAGGCTCCGTATGGTCTATATGCCGAAAAGCTGTCAGGAACAGCCTTCACTGCTCCTCGACATGAGAACAAACAAACTTGGGTTTACAGGATCATCCCCGCGGCCGCCCACGAGAATTTCAAGGTCGAAAATGGAGACTCCTATCACACTCATATGACCACCGAGACCACCAAGCTCCACCACATTCCCAATCAGCTCCGATGGAACCCGTTCGATCTGGATGAGACTGTAGACTGGGTGCATGGACTGCATCTCATCGCAGGCTCCGGCGATCCCACCCTGAAACAGGGACTGGGAATTCTGATGTATGCGGCTGGAAAAGACATGGGAAAGGAGGCCTTCTATTCCGCGGACGGTGATTTCCTGATTGTCCCACAGCACGGTGTGCTAGACATTCAGACAGAATTGGGAAGACTTGTCGTTCGCCCGAATGAGATTTGCGTCATCCCCCGTGGTGTCAGGTAAGCCCTCCTACGCTATGGTTCCACCAGTAATCTGACTTCTTCGATTGCAAGATACCGCGTAACTCTCCCAGCTGGTCCGGTAAGAGGGTACATCTGCGAGCTCTACCAGGGCCACTATCAACTCCCAGAACTTGGCCCCATTGGTTCGAACTGCCTTGCCAACGCGCGTGACTTCCAAGCGCCTGTGGCTTCTTTCGATGATGAAGAGGAACCATCCGAGTATCGCCTGTACAGCAAATTCAACAACACCCTTTTCTCCGCTCGCCAGGATCACACTCCATTTGATATCGTCGCCTGGCACGGCAACTACTACCCTTACAAGTACGACCTAGGTCGCTTTAACACTATCGGCTCTATCTCCTTTGATCACCCCGATCCTTCCATTTTCACTGTCCTCACCGGTCCATCTGACCATGTCGGAACCGCCATTGCTGACTTCGTCATCTTCCCTCCGCGATGGTTGGTGCAAGAGAACACCTTCCGTCCGCCATGGTACCACCGCAACACTATGTCCGAGTTCATGGGCTTGATCTCGGGTAATTACGATGCGAAAACCGGCGGCGGCTTCCAGCCAGCCGGAGCTAGTCTGCATAATGTCATGAGCGCGCACGGCCCCGACACCGATGCTTTCGAGGGGGCCAGTAATGCTGAACTGAAGCCGCAGAAGGTCGGCGATGGAAGCATGGCATTCATGTTTGAAAGGTCCGTATTCGCTATGAGATACTTATGTTCAATTACTAATGTCTTTAGTTCTCTCATGGTCGGTGTATCCGAATGGGGTCTCAAGACGTGCCAGAAGGTACAGGAAGAGTACAACGAGCATAGCTGGCGGCCATTGAAGAGACATTTCAAGAACCCTAACAAGGCCTGAGATTTGCACTTGTGATGAGAAAACGATGTACTGCATATTCTGTAAACATTCATTGGCAACATAGCACTGATACCTAGTCTACTTAAATGGGACACTTGATTTAATATTCTATTCGCGTACCATGTTCACATTCAAACCGTCATATGAATCTCATAACCAGAAACCAGAAACCATAAAAGCCAACCCTCAGACTTAGCTAAATCTACTTCCTCGATTCGGCCGACGCCGTAGTGTTATGGTTGCATGTTGCAGTACTAGCGCATGGACGACTTTTGCGCCAGCAATTGAACTACATGCCCTTGGTAAACCCTGATCGCTAGAATTCATCTCTACCAGCTGAACCCGGAATAAATATAGTTCATATTAAATCATACAACAAATCAATCCACATTGAGCACACAACGCTAAGACTACACACATGCACATACACAATACAGAGAAAAATAAACATCACCCCTCAACCTCCTTCCTCAATGCTTCCTTTACAATAGCCCCACACATCTTCGCATAAGGATTCGTTTGCACAGCCAACTGCTGGGCAACTTTATTCCCAAATCGACCCCCAAAGAAGAAGTCCCGACTCGCCATCTCCTCCAGCCTGTCCGCATCCAGCTGGCTCCATCTCCCCAGCCCCTCAAACGCTTCACCACTCTTCTTCACCTTCGCCAACCTCAGCAACAAATACCCGCGGTGAGTATGCGCATCAGCCAGTAAACGCGTCTGGACCTCCGAAACAGGATCCGCCGGTGACCGCGGCGTCGCTAGACCAATCGCCTCGCCCAAATCAGAAAGGAGAGAGGATACGGTCTCAGCGTTTTGTGGGGTGAAGAGTTCTGTTTCTGTTTCTTCCGCTTGGTCGGTGGAGATGAGCATGCGGAGGGCTTGGGCTCTGTTCACGTAGGCGGGCGGGTAGGTTGGGTGTTCTGTTATCAGGGTAGAAAGCTGGTTTATGGCGGATTGGATGGTCTCGGGGGTCGGGTTGGGTGATGCCAGGGTGCGGACGATGGCTACTTCGCGGGCTTTAAGGGTTTCATGGAGCTTGGAGTCGATGTTTAGGTGAGTTGGGAAAGGGGGTAGAGATGGATTGATTGTGATGCCGTTTGAGGGGGAGGATTCAGCGTCGAAGAGGGCTTGTAGGACGGCTGAGTCGTTGGTTGTTAGGCTTGGTTTTGTGGAGGAGATTGTTGTTGAGGCCATTTTCGTTTGTCTTTGTGGTTCTATTGAACTGGGAGTATTTTATTTGTGAGATTTGAGGTATAGATGTGGAGGGATAGGTTGAGTTTGGTGGTGAGTAGGTGTAAGTAGGAGGAATTGATGTAAGGGCTTGTATGTAGCAGGTGTTGTATTGCGGATATTATGCACAACTAGACTATGTATATCTATGAAGATTTGAAACAGCTATAGTTCCATCAAATAAAGCGACTGAAGCCGTGATAAGCTTCAGCGTCATTGTGGCGGATGTTTTAGCCGGGGTCATCTGCACGCCGGCTATTTCGAGATACCCGCGCCCAGCCGGCCCTTTCCACGCAACACCCGTCCACAGCCGACGCAAGCCCCAAGTTGCCATCATCGCACTGGCCGAATTGGGTAATGTAGGACTGGAAATAATGCAATCATCATTATCCAAAGGCGATGTAGGTGTTGGTTTGATGAAATGGTGGGCTAGTAAGATACCCGGTGATCGATCCACGGCTGGGAGTCGAATTGTATTTAAGATGATTATCATTCGTCGTGGCTGATATAAAGACAGCACAACGACTGGTTCAATTTACACTGCTCTACTCAGACTCTATCAGCTCTGTATTACTATAGACAGAAGAATCAAAGTCAAGCCATAACAATACCAAGAACACAACAGCCATGGCTCCTATTTCCACCAGCCCACCTCCCACAGACCGAACCTCCCTCGCTAGCTACAGAGGCTACGACCATGTGCACTGGTACGTAGCAATGCCAAACAAGCCGCTACGTACTACATCACACGCATGGGCTTCAAGCGCGTCGCCTACCGTGGTCTCGAAACTGGCAACCGAAGCATCTGCTCCCACGTCGTCCGCAACGGAGACGTCACCTTCATCCTCACTTCGCCTCTGCGCTCCCTCGACCAGATCGACCGTTTCTCCGGAGAGGAACAGGAGCAGCTGAGAGAAATCCACCACCACTTGGAGCAGCACGGTGACGGCGTCAAGGATGTTGCCTTCGAAGTCGACTCCGTCGATGCCGTCTTCAACGCGGCAGTAAGCAACGGTGCAAAGGCTGTATCGAACCCGCAGACGCTCAAGGATGAAAGCGGCGAGGTCAGAGTGGCCACTATCCAGACCTATGGCCAGACCACACACACGCTACTTGAGAGGAGCAATTACCACGGTGGCTTCCTCCCAGGCTACCGTCTCGAGACCGCAGAGGACCCCGTCTCTAAATTCTTGCCCGCTGTGCATCTCAAGCGCATTGACCACTGTGTTGGAAACCAGGACTGGGATGAGATGGACAAGGTTTGCGAATAGTGAGTTGTCCTTTGTTTTTGTTTGTCATTTATATCCAAAAGCTAAACAATCACAGCTACGAGAAAGCCCTCGGATTCCACCGTTTCTGGTCCGTCGACGACAAGCAAATCTGCACGTGAGTCCAGCTGTTCTCATCATCTCTGGGGGGGGGGACGATCAACTAACAGTTGAGTAGTGAATTCTCTGCTCTGAAGAGTATCGTGATGGCCTCGCCAAACGAGATCGTCAAGATGCCTATCAACGAACCAGCCAAGGGCAAGAAGCAATCCCAGATCGAAGAATACGTCGACTTCTACAACGGTGCTGGCGTCCAGCACATCGCTCTCATGACCGATGACATCATCCGGGACATCACGAACCTCAAGGCTCGCGGTGTGGAATTCATCAAGGTCCCCAGCACTTACTACGACGACGTGAAGATCCGCCTGAAGAAGGCCGGTCTGACCCTTCACGAAGACTTCGATACGATCCAGAAGCTGGATATCCTCATTGACTTTGATGAGAATGGGTATCTTCTGCAACTGTTCACTAAGGTATGTTGATTAGTTCCGTTCTCTTATGTACTGGTCGTGTGCTAATGGTTATAGCACTTGATGGATCGCCCGACTGTTTTCATCGAGATCATCCAGAGACATAACTTCGAGGGTTTCGGAGCTGGAAACTTCAAGTCGTTGTTCGAGGCGATTGAGCGGGAACAGGAGCTGCGTGGAAATCTTGTTTAGGACGTGGGTGTGATGATGTGAATGACTTATGCCTTTGTATTGCTGCCTCTGCTTGATACCTACCCTACATCTCTTCCAACAAGTGTATTTTTTGTCAAGTTGCTGCGCATGTTAGATTAGCGTCTCTAATGGCTATATCAAGAAGTGTTTTTGTATGAATGCGGCAGTCTTGTATGTATATGCTGCCTTCGATTGTTTTCAAAGGCTTGTTTACCTAAAATCATGGTTCCAGTAAATTCTAAGCATATGAAGTATCTGATCTTATTTTCATCAAGCGACATTATGTTCATTTCATCATTTCTATGCACACAGGCCATCCAGTGCACCAAGGTATCACGAGATATGGCTCAAACCCCAATGCACATATGGCGACATAAGTCGGCACTTTCAATGTTTCTTTTTCGAAGAAGAACCTCCCGGAGTTGAGCCTGGCCGACGCTTATACTTCCGTGGATCTTTCCGACTCATCAATGCTTTGTTTCTCGTGCCTTTCCCGCCTTCCCAGAATCCACTTCCTGCTTTTCCTATGAGAACCGCACGACAGACTCCGCAGTTTTCAGGCCGGTAAATTTGCTCTCTGGAGCAGAAGCCACAAATCATACGATTAGCGTGTTCGTTGGGGTGGTCTGTCTCCGCATCGTGACATTTATCGCAAGGAAATACCTTGGCACAGCAGCTGAATCGAAACCAGCGATAGCTCTTGCCGTAGTGCGAACAGCGACCACGGCGCGGGAGTTCTTGACCAGCAACAATGCCAAGAGCTTCCTTTGGCTTCTTTCGTGGCAGTGCTTGGTTACGAGAAGTAAATGCGGCTGATCCTACCCTGAGGAATTTGACTTCAGGGACCTTGAATACCATCTTGCGATGGCATTGGCGGCATGACGCCGATGCACTCTCGCCGCGTACTGCAACAACACCGGGTGCAGGGAAGGAGCTTGAACACTCAGCGCATGTTGGAATGAAGCTGCTAGGAAGAAGATCGGCGATAGTACAGCCATCCAAATCAAGATAGCCGGCGCGGTTTGAATTAGGATGTATTAACTGTCGACGGAAGCCTAATTGACCGTGATTAGTTTAATCTCCCATATTATGTACTGCTCGAGAAGTCCTTACCAAAACTCATAGTGTTGGCACATTTCTTGCACGACTCAACTTTGGGCGACAATGCATCAGCTTTGTCCTTGATCTGAGGGACATTCTTTACGTCCATCTGCTCCTTGCATCGATCACATTTGATCGTGATTGAGAGGCCGACAAGCTCTAAAAGTTCAATTCCATATAATTCCAAGAAGGGGAAAGACAAGGCAACACCACGTTCTACAGTGGTTTCCGGGAGCGCTGGTACTGGGGCTCCGCCATCTTCTTCATCTTCGCCTGTGAAGTCATCTTCAGACTCGGTCATGTCCGTACATTCGCTCTCGCTGCTGCGCTCGCCCACTGTCCATTCTGGAGGTCGTGGAACGACATGGACGTGAGGTTTGTCTTCTAGTGTCGAGCTAGTTGTCGTCGTCGATATATCTTCAGGGGCTTTAGAGTCGGTATGCGATTCAGGTGATGCAACAGGAATAGTCTCCTGGGGAATCTCAAGCGGCGTTTTGGCGAAGTTATGCATATTGGCCGTCAGGTAATTGATTTGCGACATGAGATTCAATTTTGAATTTCCTTCAACCCACTGCGCAAACCCCACTTCGACAGGCCGCGCTTCTGCACGGTCAACACCTTGGAGCTCAACAGAGCTCTGTTCTAGTGGGTACAAAGGGGGCACCGATAACTTGACTGCTTTCACAGAACGGATCGGAATCGGTAATCGGTCGGGTTTGGGAGGCTGTATAGGAATCACAAACGAAAGCCCATCTTTTGATTTCTGAAACAAAGGTAGTCTTCCAAGACGAGCTTCGAGTTGCTTAGTCTCCACAGTCCTCCTCTTCTCAGCTTGTGATTTCTCCTCTACGGTATATACCCGAGAGGGAGCCTCTGGCACAGACAACGGCTTTGGTTCCGTGTCTTGCTTACTCGCTGGAGTAGAAACGGCCAAGGATTTCACCCCTTCCACAATCGATTGGCTCTCTGGCTTTTGCTTGCCACCCACATTTGGTACAAACTTCAGCGTGGGACCTCTTTCCGTAGTCGTGAGTAAACGCTCAAGGTGTCGGTCTAGCGTATTCATCCAGGTTAACAAGGTCGCACGGCCACCACTCCTCAGGGTGCTGTCGACAATATCGTCGAATCCCCGCGCAACATTATCCTGAAAAGCGCTGCCCATTTCGGAATTGGTCACTTTCAGAGTGGGTCTCTGACGACCAGGATATGATAGAGGCACATGCAAAACGCATTGCAGCTTGTCCATTTCGAAGGGAAAGTCCGGGTCCGAAGGAGCCATCCCAAAAGTCAGCGTTGTGCCCACACCATCCGTGCTCTCAGCCGGACGAAAGCGTCGCCTCAGCTGGTTTATCTGGAATTCGCGGGGATTTGAGCTTTCGGCTTTCGAGACGGGCCTCTGGCTGGGTGTTGAACTTGTGCTAGTCATGTTGCCGGCTGCCAGTGAAGGGTCGTTCATTCAAAATTTAGTGCCCAGCCAAAATATCACAGAAAAAAGACAGTACAGTGGATTAAAGCAACTACAGACCCGGACACTACGTCTGGCTAAATAGCAATAGAAACCGAGTACTAGATTGATAGTTTGCGAAAGGAAGATATATGGGCTTAGTCATCTGATTTTGCCGCTGAAGGTGGGCCTCGTGCGCTAGTCCTGAAACGGAGAAGCGCCACAATGACTCTTCGTGACTCCCGATGATTCAGTGCAAATGACTCAAGGTCCCAAGTTCCAAGTGCCACATGGGCTGCAGATACGAACTAGTCCCAGGTCAGGAACTCCTGTTCTCAATTAAACGCCGTCGAGTTTCCACGGCGCTGGTACTGTGATTCTTTGGATGTGGTGCGTCTCTTATCCCAAGGATTGATTGACTCCATCAAGCAGTTACTATTCAAAGTTACTCTATTTTTAGCCTAGTCGGCCGTTGCTGAATTCTCAAGCCTTACTCGCCTCTAGTCAGGATCTTCAAATTGGGTTTCAATTGAATCTTCTAATCTTTCGCCCATTGTAGAGTCCGCTGGACATAAAGTGTGCCTTGATGTCTTATATGATTTTACTATCATCAACCCACCCACCGGATCACGCCACTTTCTGTCTATATTCTGGATACCTCAAGCATATCAAGCCACCAGTATTACGAAGAATGGTGGTCAGATTAGCTACCAACTCTGGAAAAGAAGTATGTCGTTAGCTTCTAGGTGGAGATTCCGTCCAATGCTACACAGTATAGGGGTCTTCAGCCGCTATCTCGAGACGTATCTAACCACCGTTTCCTGTCTGGAATACTTTTCGCTCCCTAAGTATCGATCATGTAGTTCTAGAAGTAGAAACGTGGGCTGATAGGGATCATCCCATGATAAGTGGAAGGATAGGCCGTGCAGGAAGAAAGTAGCCACGATTGTAGAATATGCGTGTACCGTACTGTACCGTACAACAAGATCATAAACTCTATACATCATAGAGGTCAGTAATTCTGAACTTGGATGCCCAGCAGCTGCAGTGGGTTTATGTTCTCGGTCATTGAGAGAGCCAGCATCACTGTGTAAGATCTTTATGTGAAAGCCCAAATGAACGATTATCAAATAACCTCTTTTAGCAACAGGCAAAGGTATCTTAGTTCATTACTCGACGGGCGATCAATACTGGATGTCTCCTTGCATCCGAATAGCTATCTATTCAACCAAGTCAGTCTTACAGAATTCATATACGAAAATGGTATCTAAGACATCCTCCAAACTATAGTTCTTCCAGTCTCTGTGGTTTTAGAACAGTCTGAACAGAGGAAAGACAAGGCGCTCAATCTTAGCCACTATATCCACAGTAAGCTTCATGAAGCAGTGCGTGTCAGCACTTTATTAACGATATAATGTATAACACTCCCAGCTTTATGGCTCAATACACAATCAGCTGTGGACGCAGTACCTCGCAGACTTCCAAGCTTTGAGTCCTGAAGATTAGACTAAGACAAAAACAACCTAGTGAATATAACACCTGGCAACTCTCAAAAGAAATGAAAACGTAGTTCCAAATTAAGCCATTGCCGTGTACTCCGTGCATATTATGTATAGGTTCACCGAGGCTAGGTTTCTCCGTCGTTAAAGCTGCAAGGGGTTGCTGATCAATTAGGGCATCTGGAGTGGTCCGATTCGGATGTCAACCCACCCGCCCGGCTGATGCCAAGTACTCCAATATGGGGGCCCACTGTCTGGTACATCGCATTGTATATCCGGGTGGTGTCAGCAGAATTGGGGTGGTTCCGATTGCTAAAGTGGCAGTGCTTCTGTTTAGTAATGGTCTGGCTCTCCTTTATTCCTCAAGGTTACGGGTTAGGGTTCCATCCAGATTAGGCATACACATTGAAAGGTAGATCCAAATGCCTATCTAATTTCCTTATTAGAGTCGGCATTCTTCTAGCTCCTCACACTCCTTTTCCTCTTCTTCCCTGTCTTCTCCTCGCAGCATGGTATCCTTCACTCTCGTCAGCGCCTACGCGGCTGCTGGCGTGCTGGCAATCATCATCCTAAATGTCTTGCGCCAACTCTTCTTTCGTAATAAGAGTGACCCACCTCTTGTTTTCCACTGGGTCCCTTTCGTGGGTAGTACCGTTACTTATGGGATGGACCCTTATGCATTTTTCTTTTCTTGCAGACAAAAGGTTAGTCGGCCGCCGTGATGTTTATTTCACAATTCTGTCTGGAGCCCGCTGCTAACACAGTTGGCAGTATGGTGACATCTTTACCTTCATATTACTGGGTCGAAAGATCACAGTATATCTGGGCATTCAAGGCAACGAATTCATTCTTAATGGCAAGCTGAAGGATGTCAATGCCGAGGAGATCTATAGCCCGCTCACCACGCCAGTCTTTGGCTCCGACATTGTGTATGATTGCCCGAATTCAAAGCTTATGGAGCAGAAGAAATTCATCAAGTTTGGACTCACACAGGCTGCACTGGAGTCGCATGTACCACTGATTGAAAAAGAAGTTCTTGATTATCTCAAGACATCGCCCAACTTCAAGGGGACATCCGGCCGGGTGGAAATCACGGGTGCCATGGCTGAAATCACTATCTTCACTGCCGGCCGAGCACTGCAAGGCGAGGAGGTTCGCAAAAAGCTCACTGCGGAGTTCGCAGATTTGTATCATGACCTTGATCGGGGGTTCACTCCTATCAACTTTATGCTTCCGTGGGCACCGCTGCCGCGTAACCGGAAGCGGGATGCAGCCCATGTGCGCATGAGAGAGATCTATATGGACATCATCAACGAGCGCCGCAAGAACCCGGACCGGGAGACTTCCGACATGATCTGGAACCTCATGCATTGCACTTACAAGAATGGACAGCCTGTGCCAGACAAAGAAATCGCCCATATGATGATCACTTTACTAATGGCAGGTCAGCACTCATCGTCATCTATCAGCTCTTGGATCATGCTACGACTAGCCTCTGAACCAGCAGTCTTGGAAGAGCTCTATCAGGAGCAAATCATGAAGCTCAGCCCGGATGGAAGTAGCCTTCCGCCCCTGCAGTACCGCGATCTGGATCTTTTGCCCCTTCACCAGAATCTCATCAAGGAAACTCTGCGTTTG